CATAAAATAATAAATGCACATTTTTTTGCAGATTAAAAAAAAGTGGATTTATTATTATTATTATTATTATACAGGATTTATATAGCGCCAACAGTTTGCGCAGCGCTTTACAAAAGGAAGGCAGACATTACAGTTACAATACAATTTGGTACAAGAGGAAACAGAGGGCCCTGCTCCTTAGAGCTTACAATCTAGGACTACTTTTTATTTTGGGAGCCTGTAAAGCATTTCACCAGTGATCAACAGATCGCTGGTGCCATGCAAGACTCCTGCAGACCTGTCAGTGTATCTGTTTGCTCTTAGCTCGTATGGACAGGTAGATACTGTACTCCCTGACAGGAGGAATCAATGAACTGCCACAGAGCACAACAGTGGTAGTTTATTGAGAACTACAAGCCGTCAGCTGCAAAGGATGTCGGAACTTGTAGTTTTCCCATTCACAGAATATTGTCAATGAGTGATGTGGCGGGGCAGGAGGAGCCCTGCTCGGCCGTGTTTTTTTCAATTTTGACAGCTAGAGGGAGGAGAAGACCCCTGCTAGCTGTCATAAAGGGGGATCAAGGGGGGAGTGGGGGGCAGTCCTTTTGTAACATGCTACATATTATACCCTGAATTTATAACATGTTACGACAGGTGAACTTATCATTTATTACAATGAAATGTAGCATTACATTTTTCCATGACATCTTACTGATAAATGGTGCTGTAATTGTAATACGAATTATACTATATAGTCACAATTATAGAGGTAAGCAAACCTTTTCTTTTCGGTCCAGTGCGTGGCGTTTGATTGGGGAATAAAGTAAGAGGTTTTAGGATATCATTGTACAGCTGATGTAATCTTTGGACATCCAGACTCTCCTCTGTGGATGGTGAAGTGTATTTTCTGCTCTTTGGGAAAGACTTTGCATCTCCAGTATCATTTACCATGTTTCCAGTAATCTAGAACAAAAATGTCAGACCAAATCTAAATCAGTGATGTCTATACACAGCTACCAAGAGCAACCAATGATCATTATAATGATGTCCAGGGATGTCAGTTTTCCTATGTTCTGTTGTGAGCAGTGAGCAGTGAGCAGTGAGCAGTGAGCAGTGCCCAGCGGACCTGTCAGGCTTGTGTCAGGTCCCCTGTGGACTTGAAGTCCATTGATGACTTTCTCCAGCACCATACTGTAGGTGAAGGTCCATATCCCTGTACAGACCCTGGGATGGTATGCAAACAGTGCAGGAGCCTGTGCACTGCTATCACAGGGCACTGATTGTGACTACAATACATTGCAAACTTCAATGCAAAATTTTAATTATTGCACATTTGTTATCTTGCTAATGTGTGTGCATTTATGACATTTTTGCAAAAGGTGGACACTGCCTTTAAAGTGGTTCTAAACTCAAAACATTGTTTTACCTTAACCACTTCAAGTCCAGACACTTTCACCCCCTTCCTGTCCAGGCCAATTTTCAGCTTTCAGTGCTATCACACTTTGAATGACAATTGCGCGGTCATGCAACACTGTACCCATATGAATTTTGTAGCATTTTTTTGAGACTGATAAAACTTTATTTTGGTGGTATTTATTCACCACCGGGATTTTATTTTTTTTGCTATATAAATAAAAAAAGTCCCAAAATTTTGAAAAAAAGTGTTTTTCTTATAAAATTTTGCAAATAAATAATCTTTGTTCATAAATCCAAAAATAACCCAAATTAGTTTATAACCAAAAATTATAATTTTTGAAAAAATTATTTTTACATTTTTATTTTATTTTTTTTATATTATTTATGTTTTTTTTTTTTTTTTTAACATACTGTTACCCTAGCAGTACAGTGTCACCATAGTGACACTGTACTGCTTGTGGGGGGTGATGAAGATTTTTTTTTTTTTTTCCACCGATTGCTTTTACACCCATAAAGGCTGCAAAAGCAATAATTTCTCCTTCTCTCTGGCTGCATTCTTGTAGTCATTGAGAAATACTGTGTGAGCTGTGATTGGTCACAGCTTGTCACATGGTACAAGGCTGTTGTGAATAGCCTTGTACAATGTAACCTCTGTGATCATTCACAGATTTCACATGTAGTAAGCAATGATGTCAGAAGTGACATTTTGCTTACTACCATTCATGTGATCACTGATTGCACAATCAGTGATCACATGAATCGGAACCTCACACAGAGGTCCTGTACAGCGATCTCTGTTCACCAGATTGCGGTGCTGCGCACTCCCAGGGAGCTCCCACAAGCAGGGAAGCGGGAGGATGTTTATAAACGGCCACCCGCACCTGCTCTGCTCCCCTCCGGCCATTTATGTACATGGGCTGGACAGGAAGTGGTTAAAGTGTAATTCCAGTCATACCCTAACCTAGCCCAAATCTTGGAACACCCCCATTCCAAGCCTATTCTATCTACCCTGTAAAAAAGAAAGGTTGTCTGTACTTACCTATTCTGAAGCTGCTCCGATCTGGTCACATGACCGGCTTCCAACACAAACTTCAGTGTAGAGGAGAGACAGTGTCAACGCAGAGCCCAGGCCATGACATCACCCATAGATTTACAATGGGGCATCTATTCTCGGCTGTCCATCCTCTACACTGTAGCCAGCGCTAGAAGCTGGTTATGTGATCGTATCGGAGTACCCTAAAAATAAATACATAAAGGATCTTTCTTTATACAGGGTAGATAGAATAGGTTTAGAATGGGAGTGGGAGCAGATTTAGGCTTAGGGTTCGACTGAAATGCCACAGTCTCTGCATCAAGGCATCAAGTTAGTTCCCCCCCCAGTGTCAGAATTTATTTATTATTTATTTATTTCAGGTACTTATATAGTGCCATCAATTTATGCAGCACTTTACATGTATATATTGTACATTCACACCATTTCCTATCCCTCAAGGGGCGTACAATGTAAGGTCCCTAACTCACATTCACACATACACATACTAGGGACAATTTAGACAGGGTCCAAGTAACCTACCAGCATGTCTTTGGAGTGTGGGAGGAAACCGGAGTACCCAGAGGAAACCCACGCATGCACAGGGAGAACATGCAAACTCCAGGCAGGTGGTGGCGTGGTTGGGATTCGAACCAACGACCCTAGTACTGCCAGGCAGAAGTGCTAACCACTTAGCTACTGTGCTGCCCAAATGGAACCTTAGAGATTTAGTGCCCAGTCATACCGGTGTGATTTTAAGTGCAATTTGCAAATTGAGCTCGCACGTGAAATAGCATCTAATGAATGTAAATGTCAGTGTCGTAACATGTGCGATTTGCTGCAGCGCGATTTCCAAAGTAGTTCTTGCATTACTTCAGTTTTGATCAGATTTCACATACATAGATTATAATGGAAATCACACTGCAAATTGTAAGAAATCATTGAAAATCTACTGCAGTTTTGATCCGATTTCACATACATAGAATATAATGGAAATCGCACTGCAAATTGCAAGAAATCATTGAAAGTCTTCACAACTAGCAATAAAGTCTTCAGAAATCACGCTGAAATTGCACACAAATCTCAGCGGTGTGACTGGTGACTTAAAAATGGTAATATGAAATAAACCAACTGTATAATGTGAAGCCAGCACAATCGTAAAATAGGGCAGGATAGGTGTAACAAAATCATGAAATGCTATGTATCAGTGGGCATTGGGTTCCTATGCTGAGAAATGCTCTGTACAGAAGTGAAGAAGTGACACTTACTGATTGAGGGGTGTATATGAAGAATCCGGGGCAGAACTCTCATCTGCAGTCACTAGACTGATATAGACAGGTCATGGCAGCCATCCAGGTCATGGAAATAGTTCCCTCCAGAGCCGGGCCCCTGAGCACACCCGGAAAAAAAGCAGCACACAATTGTGCTGGGACATCCCGTCACTAAGCAACACCCAAACATTGCAGAGGAGGCCTGAGTCCATTCACTACTCTCAGTAACTGATTTCTCCTCCGCTGGCTGCACTGCTGTCATTCTACTGTCTTCAGATGATGGCTAAGAAATCCAACAGTATGATAATCACAGACCAGATGTCCCCATGTAACCAGACTTCCCCTCTGTGGTTCTTGCCACTAATTTCTGTGCAATCCACTTCAAGAAGAAATAAAATACAAACCTTTTTTTTTTCAAATTTGGACAAAGTGGAGATGGATTAGAACGCCTATCAATTTTTAGTCCTCATGCAGACTGGGTGTTTTAAAAATGTTGGTAGCATTCGCTGTATAAAGTCACGTTAAGTCACGTTTTTGCAGTAGCATTTTTATGCGTTTTTTTTTTTTACACAAAAATAAAAAATGTTTGCTCAAAAGATACCCCAAAATGCTGGTTTGTAGCATTTTACTGCATTTACCAGCGTTAGACTGTTTTTTACAGCTAAAAAGCCCCTCTACAAACCCACTAGTTATGGTTTTGTTTTCTCCAGCCAAAAAATACCCCTGCCAAAAAACACTGATTAAAGCCTATGTGTGCATGAACACATAGGATAGCATGCTGGGGAGTTTACTAGCAGTAGAAATAAATGCCAAAAGCCAAAAACAGCAGCTGTAAAAATGTCCAGTGTGCATGAGGACTTATTGCTGTCTGTGCTCCGATAGGGAGATTCACCCTCTCTATTTGCCCTATTTGCCATTATTATCAAAAGTGAAAGAAAATCCTAAATTTTGAGTTGCCACCATTGCTGTAATCGAGGGGAAATCTTTCAATGGGGATGCTAGTGACAGCCTTCCTTTTGTAGGGATTTTCTCCCACTTCCTCTTCTGTTTTGGCTATGGGACTGGAAGTTAAGGGAATTCTCTGCAATGTAACACAAATAACAAATAAAAAACTGACTGACTAAACTGACTAACTGACTTGACGCTGGGGGGAGGAACTGACTAACTGCCGCTGACATCACCAGTGACACTAATACAGTGATCAGTGATAACCAGGGCTTAAAATTTCAAGTCCTGAGCTACTAGCCAGGCCTTAGAGTTACTCGCCACCAACAAACACACAAACAGGGACACCGTACCCACACACATACACAGACATGTACATACACACACAAAAACATGTACACACGCACAGAGACACATGTACACAGACACATGTATACACACACACAGGCACGTACAGACACGCATACACACAGATACATACAGAGAAATACACACGCACAAACACGTACATACATACACAGACACATGTACGTACATACATACACACACACACACACACACACGTACATACACGAAGACACATGTACAGATACACACAGACACATGTACAATTGCACATGCATACACAGACACACACATGTACATGTACACACACAACCCTATAAAAAGTTGCAGAACTTCGTTGTTCACTCACAGATCTTGGTACTGCACTATAGGGGGAGGCAGAGAGCACAGCACACTCTCCTTCCTTTGCTTTCACTGCGCTCAGCTATTGAGCAGTCCGACGGCTCCCAGTGCCAAAGACAGATCCGGCCTGAGCTCCGAGCCTGCTCAGCAAGATGGCCTTGGAGGACACACTTACCCCCACCATAATTTCCACTTGCCATTGGCGAGCTGGCGAGTGGAAATTTCAAGCCCTGATAATACTTTACACAGTCACTATTCTAATGACACTGGCTGGGAAGAGGTTAACATCTAGGGTGAACAGGGGGTTAAATGTGTGTACAATAATATGTAATGTGCACCATTTTTACTAGCAGATCTTTGTTTCCTCCTTTGCAGGAATAAGAAACTGAGAGATCGTTCCCTCTGTACAGAGCCCTGTGTTGGTTGTCAACACAGAGCTCTGGGCTTTAACTGGACACAGCCAATCAGCAGGCCCCAACCGTGAATCATTAGCCAGGACTTGCTGACAGACTCCTGCAGTGTACAATCACAGCAAGTGTCAGCAAGGGAGGGAAGGGGGGGCACAAGTGCCTGTGCCCTGTACCTGGAAGCAGGCATCAACGTACCAGCATATTGCGGTGCCTGCACGGGCCGCCCGTACACAGTAGATTGCGGGCGGGCAGTTCTTAAGTGGTTAAAGTTAAAAAAAAAAACCAATGCATTGCACCACTGTCTGTACACAGCATACACCAACATTTATTTTAGCATGCAGGCTGGTGTGAACGAGCTGTAACTGGACTGGACTGTCCATCTGGATGTAGGACGCTGTAAAGAGTGGTAGTGGATGTCAGATGTCAGAATGCATAGTGTCAGAGTCACCAACCTGGGAGAACAGTTTATTGGGTGATAAGCATAGCTGGGAACTTACCTATAACTGACCTAGGAAAACTATTTAGCTCTGGTTTCTTGGTCATTACTGGAACGGTTACAGTATATCTCCAGAATTTCTATATCAGAGATGTAAAAAAAAAAAAAAGCACAGTGTTCATGATGTCAATTTTTGAATTACGCACGCTGTGTCCTGCTGGCAAATGCCAGTAAATACCATCTGCGGAGAGTGAAGGCGTGAGGGAAAGGAGGAGCGGAGTCCTCCTCCTCCAGTGATCCCATTGCACTTACATGGCTGGGAGCCCTGGCCATGTAAGCAAAAGTGTCAGGGAGGTGCCCATCCCCTTCGCTTCACTTTCCTGGCCTATAAAACTGCACGCTCAGATTAAAGGTCTGGTATATGTGCAGGGTTCCCCCTTGATATGCATACCAGAGCTGAAGGGTCTGATAAAACTTTACGGAAGAACACGTCTTCTTTTTTTTTTTTATCAAAATGTATAGCAGAATTGAATTGAAAACGCTGTTAATTCATTTTTCACTGCCAGCTGCCTATATTTCCCAATGCAATGGGGACCCTCCAAAAATCATACCAGACTCTTATCCACCTTGATGAGGTTTGGGAATGTAGTTTGGGGGGGTCCTCATTGCATTATTTACAAAACAAAGGAACCCTTTAAAAGGTGTCTGTTAATTAATTCCCAATGTTGGCACTTGATTGCCATGGACTTCTAATAAGGTGACCAGATTTACAAATTGAAATCCATAGACACGCTACTGACCATGCCCACTTTTAATTAGGGTAGGTCGGGGGCAGGACAGCGGACAGGGATAAAAGTACCAAAAACATGATACAGCAAATGATGGGTGTGGGCAAATTGTACAATTGGAATCTGGAAGGGGTATGGTTTAATAACACCCAAGCCTACTTTACTCTGAGTCAATAGTGCATAACACGCAGAGCATAGAGGCCAAAAGTAAGTGAGTGCCTACCAAACAAAAATTTCTCCCTCCTCCCAATGCCATCCCGAATGACAAAACCACCTCTAGCATAAATTCCCCACTCATTAAATTGTACTCATCAGACCTTGGCATGGCATTGGTGGTGCGTCCCTATCGGTCATCATCTGCTGGTGGGTTTCCGCCCTCATCTCCAGTGGTAGCTCCTGTACAGCTGAAGGCACCATATACTTGTATGACGGGAAGGAGTCTGCAACATTAGGAGGAGTATGTAACGTGTCCAGCACCCCCTGCCGCTCGCTGCTCAGGCAACCGGCAACAGCCTAATGTGACTGGTCATGCACAAGGCTGCATTTTGAGGTGGTTGCCAGCAGACAGCTCTCCAGTCACAATCCAGGTTCAGTATAGTAGTGTCACACCAAGCCCAGATGTGCATCACAAGCAGCATGGTGGTAAATAATTCACTTCCTTACCTCCCATGAAAAGGTCTACTCAAGCCATGAGGAGAAGGACCAGGTAGACTACGGGATATTGATATGCAACATCATTAATAACCCTGGACACACCCGGGAGAGGACACATTCCTCCTGTTCCAGCCCAATCACTGAAATGTTGCTAAAATGGATTACCCTGCAACTACCTGGGTTGGTCACACCATTATTAAAGCTGGACAGAAATCAGGGACAGATTCTTTTAACTGGCTAGAAAATCAGTGACACTTTTTTTTTTTTTTTATACCAAATGTAGAAACACCCCAACGGCCAAAGGCCTAGTACCGGGAATGGTATATCTGCCGAAGCCTAACCTTAAGAAAGGGGAGGTGCATCCAAAACCAATGCACTACTAAGAAAACCCCCTGAAAAAGGACATAGCACCTCAAAGGCTAATCAGCAGCGTAAATTTATTAAGGACGTAAAAAAGTAAAAACACATATCATGTAATCATATAATCGTACAATGCACATTCCCCATTGCAACTGCTTTCTTTAAGTCCCACCAAGAGGTTCTAAATCGGGGCTTTAAGTGATCTGGTGACTTGCGATGGCCACTCAATAATGTATCTGTTGGATAGCGCACGTCTCCCAAGCCTCCACCCCTCCCAGTCCTCTACCTCCCAACAACCCCCCCCAATATCATCCCACACATCCCTCCCTCCCCGGGCAAACCCAACAAGCCCCCCCATCCCTAGACCAGAGCACCGGAGGCTACCCTCCCTGTGAGTCCCCCTCTCCCTAAGTCCCCCCCCTCTCAGTGCCCGTGAGGATGGATCAGATCCCCCAGAAAGGTCCCTCTGTAGCAGTGCCCTGTGATGTGTAGATCATTAATATAGGGACATATATATATCCAGCTATCAAAGTGACATTCAATCTTAGTGACAGTCCCAAGCTTTTAGGTAGCTTGCGTAGAGTATTGACTCACAGCAGTCACAAGGCTTGCGGGAAGTCCCACCAACAGGAAAGGCCACTCCAACCTTCCTCCAAATTAGTGTCACTTAGTTCGTTGCTGGTATAGGTATGTCACTATGCTATAAGCCCCACATGATTGTAACATATCCAAAGCCTTGCAAGCTGGCAATGAAGAAACCACCCAAACCATCTGTCAGGCGCTTTTGTACAGGCCCAGCCTACGCCCTAAAACAGGTAGCCGATTGGCTCTGTATGCCTGAGATCTGCAATGTGGAAATCTTGTGCCAGCACAGTAGTGATACAGACTGGGATAGAGAGGCAGCATGCACTCCGGCACAGGGAAGTTGGATGTGATCCCTTCCGCTTACATTTTTCACCTGTCCCACTGACCAGGGATTCTTCAGGGCGTAGCCAGAAGGGATCATGTCCTCCTTCCCTATGCAGTCCCCTGGTAACTTAGGGATCACAGGGAGGGGTGGGAGGGTGGCCTCCGGTGCTCTGGACTAGGGAGGGGAGGGCTTGTGGGGGTGCCCAGGGAGAGGTGTGTGGGATGACATTGGGGGAGATAGGAACAAGGTACATGCATTGTATGATGTGTTTTACTTTTTTACGTCCTTAATAAAATTTATACTGCTGATCAGCCTTTGAGGTGCTAAATCCTTTTTTGGTGTTTACTCCGTAACACTTTTTTTGGCTACAGCCCCCTAAAATTTGCGACTGTCCCCTGAAACTGGGGATATCTGGTCACCCTAGGACAGGTAAACTGCTGTGCTATGTAGAAGAGGCTGCAACAGACCTTGACAGGCTGTAGGTAGTGGGGCTGGGCGTTTTTCCTGTGCCTCCCGGGTGCACTAAAACACTGGGATACATGCACGGGAAGGGGCCTAATAATACACCGGGATAGTTTAGGCAAGGGAACTAATAACACACCGGGGTAGTTTAGGCAAGGGGCCCGTTAGCCAGGTTAGTGACAAGTTGGATACAAATCAAAAAGCAGCGCTAAATATCAATGTGTGATCAACATAAAAAACTATATAAAAAGATTTATCCATTAAATTCCTATAAATAAACACATTAAATCACTTTATGATTATGTTATTTATATGAATTTGATTATATATTTTTATGTTGATCACACATTGTATTATTTGCTTTTTGGTTTGTATCTTATTTAACTGGTATCACAGTTTATAGCGGCTGCTTGTTTATTTGAATTAGTGTTCCAGGACTGATTTATGTTTTTGCTATTTAGTGACAAGTTGGACAACATACAAAAACGCACACACATACTGATACAGAAATAAAACCATCATTATGCAACTTTTATTGCATTATTAAAGTTTGTAAATATACAAACATTAAAATGACATGATACATTAAAAAAAATTAAACAATACAGATTTCACACACTCTCCCTGTATATAAGCACCAGTTTGTTATTTTGGAATCATGGTAAGAATTATTTTACTATCTAAATACTCAAGTTTTGGTAAAATTCCAGTATTGTCATGTTTAGTGATGGTGAAAATAAAATGTATATCCATATTGTTGTCAAATGACCACCAGTCACTATAAATGTCCTTACCACGTATCTTTTCATGTGATCTGGATAATCAAACTCAAATGACTTATCTCCATTATATTCCAACTAGTTTCACAGAACAATCCTATAGCTCAAAGCAACCATTCTTCCTAACACGGGTCAGCCCATAAAAGATTAAATACAATTGGCTACTGTGGTTTACTATACAGCATTGCTCTATGCACTTTGGTTACACAAGATCAAAACTTACAATCATGTTTAGAAACTGCAATAAGTACTTGATCAGGGTCTAAAACAATATCTTCAAAAGACGTGCATAAATGTTAATTGTGCGGATTTAACTGAACAGTATTGCATTATGCAGGTTTTTCATTCCCTTTCATGCATGGTATATAGGCGGTTATAATGATCTCTGTAATTGTGTTTTGTGCTAATCAGTGGAAAACAAAAACATATTTGTGTGAATCTGATGAAATTATATTATTTTCAGGTGTTTCTTTCATAATGGTTAAAAATAAAAAACACATTCTAAAAACGCAAATTATAATTATATGTTCCCATAATACAACTAGCAACTAAAACAAGTAACAAGCTGCACACATCATATAATAAAACAAAAAGTTCAAATGATTACATCAAGCATGCAAAACTAAACTGTGTGTGTGGAGTACAAGATCAAGCAATGAAATACAAATGAAATGCGTATTTTCAGATTAGATTACAGTACAGATAACACTATACATGTGCATGGCCATGTATACTTGATAGCCAGCTTTCTTAGAACATGAAAGATGGGAGGGTCTTTGGGAACACTCGTGAGAGGGCTGGATTTCATATCTGTACTGCCCTAGATGACTTTAGTACATATAGCCCTTCTTCTATGCTTGCATTCTACCTCAATTTTATTGAAATGTGAAGAAGCCGAAAAAAAGGCCACCTTAAGCTGCAGTCTACAGTCCGCTTCCAACATATCTGGGACTGGATCAAGCAAGATATGCCACACATAAGGAAGCAATAGCAATCCACACAGCTCTTACAGAGGCCAATGAGAAATGAATGTTTGCTGAACGTATCCCTTTATCAGTCTGCTTGCTGAGGCTGAGATCTCTTTTTACTGCAAGCCCTCACCATTCTTCATTTTCTGAATTTCCTTCATTTTTTTTCAGATTTCAGACACCTGCTGATGGGTAGTAATTTAGATCTTTACAGATTCTGTATATGCATCGCACATGTATAAATGAGTAATATTTCCATACCTGGTACATGCATTATTAGAATGCAATTGGGGGGGAGGGCATGGTATCCAAATTCCACCATTATTTTTTCTTAGGTGCCCCAACTTACACAAGGGATGATGGATAGCAAAATACTGCTTTGGTGCCCAGTAGACTTTTATTCTGTCCAAGAGCAGATTAATAGATTGCAAGTAGCAATAATATAAATTGTTTATAGCCTGCTATCATCGTCAACAAAACAATTTTCCTAAACATTATAATGCAAGTTATGTCTAGGGTATCAATTGTGAAAGCAACAAACAAATAAAACATGTCTATCATATAGAACATGCATAATATAAATGGTATTTAAAAAAAAAAAAAAAAAATAAAATTATAATATATATATATATATATATATATATATATATATATATATATATATATATATATATATATATATATATATATATATATTCGTGCACATAGATTATGCATGCATCCAGCAAATATATGCAGCAGTTGCAATAATGTAGACATTGACTGCAGATGACTATTTAAAATGACACTAGACAGCCATGGCATCTGGATCATACCAATAAATGCAACTCTATCCTACAGAAATGATTATACGTATGCACCCATAGAACATTAAATGGCCACAAAGGGTACAGCCATTTAATTAGACTTTACCAATAAAGCAATAACAGTGATAGTGGTCCAAAAGTGTAGTAATGCACAGCAACTTATCACACTTCAAAATGCTAAAGCCAGCTTTGTGAAATATCAATTGTCACTACTTGCCATATGTTACTACACTTTTCATAATACCTTCTTCCTTTCTGAAAATCCCATATACTGTATGTAGTTCAGAGTAACATGACAAAAAAAAAAAAAAAAAAAAAATGTAAATAAAAGTAACGGCATGAAACAATACTGGACATATTCTCATAACAATCGAGAGCAATAGGTAATATAACACGGCAGTTATTTCTATTTGATAGAGCTATAGTTTACAGGCTGGTTTTTTTTGTTTTGTTTTTTTGTTATTAATAAAGATTAATTGAGGCAGTAGTAAGAATGAAACCAATGTGTTCAAGAATTCAAAAATAATTCAGTTTGTCAGAAGAAAAGTACACAAACAGTATTTTTGTGCATCCATTGATCATTCAGACACCTACAAAACATTTAACCATTCATCGTTAATCATAAAAGAAGAAAACTAAAAAATTTAAAAGGTAACGGGGCTTTTCCCATTTGTGGAATTCTGTGTTACCCGTTGTGCAGTTGCCTTCTGGCATCTGAAACTGGAATTTACTCCTTAAATGGTCTAGCTTGTGGTTGGTTCTTTTGGAGGAAATAGCTATGGAGTAAAGAAGTATGGTGACGTTTTCCAGGATTACCAATTGGAGGTATGCATATTTAATGAGCAATAGGGTAAGACTGGTTGCTTATTACAGCAACACTATTTTCATTATACAATAGTTCTAAAAAGTATTCATTCTTTTGGATGTTCATGGCTGTTCCAACATTCACTATCACAGCGGAGCAGGACATGCTCATATTTTTAAGTAGCACCACTTGTCCAAAGTCAAAGATTCAGACAAAAAAATCAGTTTTTGTTAGAGCATAACTAGTTGAAATAGCCACATGTTTTTTTTCCATTTGTTGGATACTTCTAGAAGTGAAGCACAGTACTGAATTCTAACTTTCTGCAACAGCCATCATGATGGGGTCTTATTACACCTGTCAAATTCATATAATGTATACAGAAAAAGTAACTACAGGCCCCTCCCACATCTGCAGGAATAGAGAGACTTTAGGAAGATTTGAAGGAATAGAAAGACCCCAAGGTGGGAAAAACAAAATGACAGAGCTCATTGTTGGAGTCCTTGGGATAAAGGAAGAAAGCGAATGATTCAACCCACAGATGGCTACTAAATGTTGACATAGCAATGCAGAGTGGACTGACATTTCTAGTAAAGCATTTGTTCTATGTCTGCATCTAGCTGGTGGTTCATGGAAAACGTTCATTGTCCTTTTCCACAGTCACAAATGTGCAGATAAACCACACTTAAAGTGTTACTAAACCCATAACAGTAAAATCAGTCTGTATATGCAGTAAAGCATGCTTGGTATACTCACTGTGGAACCTAAAGGGTTAATCCTCTGCATTGTGTAAAAATGCTCATTGATTCTGACTTCTCTGATCCTCCCCTTTTTCCGTTATCTTCTGATAAGACATATGTGTGGAGCCACTCACATGCTCACTTTGGTGTGTATTGCTAGACATAGTTTTTTTTTCCTGGGAGAGTATGTGATCAGCACAAGGGCCAATCAGCACAATCCAGACAGAGGTCAGGGGTCCTGCATTTTCCTAGAGCAAAATGAAAACTCCTCCTGCAAGCTTTAACATGTGCTCTGCTGGACACTGAAAGAAGTCACAAGACTGCTCTAACTGCTGATGAGAAATTGTATTCAGCAGTTTATATTTACTACATAATTGCATTTCCATGTTCTGTGTACTTTAACCAAAAAATAACCATTTTGCATGACATGACTAGTGGTCATTGCAGGAGTTGGATCTGAATTGCAAAGGTCGAAGCAGGAGCATACATAAATTATCCTTCCAGATTATCAGCACTAAATAAAATATCCTGAAACCAACGTGCAATTAAAAAGAAGTCTGCAGTACATTCCAAAACTCACAAGCAAGAAGCATTCTGCATCTGTCATACAATGTAGGCTCCACTTGTTAACACTTTGACCCCTTTATAAAAATACTGGCTTCTTCATAAGAAACATTAAACTTCTTTTTTTTACAGTACAGTTGCTCTGGACAGAGTTCAAGTTAAAATCTATAAAATATATTTCTCTCATCAGATTAAGTACTCTTTTGAGAAATTAGTATTTACATTATGTGGTGTGCAATGTTTTATTAAGTGTCCGGGCTATGCCTGAGCCTCTGCCTTCCCTCCTTCCACTTCACTGAAGAGCAGCTTCCGGAAGATTCCGGCATAGAATGGTCCATACACTTGTTTGTTAAAATTCACAATGTTGGCATAGTGAAATCCAATAAACTCCATTTCCTTGCGAACTATTGTGAGCCCCCCAGGGATTATAGGAACACGCTTGTATGGATAGGGAAGACAGAGGAATGTTGTCACATACTCCTGGGTCCGTTTATCTAAAATAAATAAATAAATAAATCTATATTATCTGACTTGATTAGGTTAGTAAATACATTATAATAGACACAGATGGATAGACAGCAATGCTTAAGGAATGAATATCATCTGGGAAAAGCTTGGGCAAAGTTGCTGACAGACAGGCTTATGTCTAAGGGAACAGGTAAAGCAGTTTTACTTACCTGGTCCTCCACTTCTGCTGGCTCCTCTGCACTGCTAGGCTGGTCCCTAGAACCCCTTCTCCCCTGTATTCTGACAGTTGGATGCCCCTAATGTTATCAAGGCCATAACCCTGCACTGGATGTGAAGATGGTGAGGGACAGTCCACTGCTAGAATATAGGGGAGCACTGTTTGCTGGAGGAGCAGAGGATCAAGAAAGTAAAAGTGCTTTCACCATCCTCTAGAGTCTAGACAGAAACAAGCAGTTAACCCTTGCAATGCAGGCACAGCCTCATTGTAAGGGAAGGATTTTACGTCTACTGGAGTTGGGCTTGAAATTTTTCCTCCAGTAAAACCACATCACTAATCTCCCAAACAGTTATCTTGTCCCACATACCACTGACTGTCCTTGCCAAGCTCTTTAAAAAGGTGGACATCTGGTCTTAGTCAGGAGGCACACTTCCTGATTTTAAATCATGCCAACATGACATAATCATGCATAATGATGACTATGGCAACTTCTAAAAAATAAAACAAATCCTCAAAACTATGGAGTGCACCAGATCTTAAGCTGCACTTCTTTTGAAATGAAATTCCATAGGCAGATATAAAATATCTACAGAGGGATTTTAGATGAGTAAAGGTCATGCAAAGACATGCAGCAACAGTACTATAAAAGTAATTGTGCGCTGCAAAAAAACAACAAAAAAACAAACAAAAAAACAAAATTATGTGAAGCTCAGATATACAAAAACTGCTGCAAACACATGAAATGTTCATAACAAAAGAACGCGTGTGTTCATAACAAAAAATGAATAAATATGTGCAAAAGTGTTGCACTGCTCAAATATAAAAAAAACAAAAAACACAAAATCCAAATAATAAAGTCCAAAAAAGATAAAGAGAAACAACTCTTCAGAAAGTCCCGGTGGAAAAGACCATATATCTACTGAAGAGAAAACCCGCAATACCGGCACAGTGTATTCCTTTTAAAGATTCACAGCACCGGGATTGTGGGCTTATATGGTCATTTATCTTTTTGGACTATTATTTAGACTTGCATGTTTAATTTGGATTTTGTGGTTTTTTTTTTTTTTGTTTTTTTTTTTTTTATATTTGAGCAGTGCAAGACTTTTACACATTAGTACTATAAAAAGTATTGTACTTCGGGTTTCTAAGTATAAGATAATTGTATTTTATATTCAAAAGCTTACCAATCAAGTTGTAAATGGGATGAGCTTTCTCAGGAAGGCTACAAATTTGCCCCATTAGGACAGACTGAACGTCACTGCTTAATGGAGGTAGATCTCTCTCTGTCAGTGACTTGTTCATCTCAAAGCATATTTTAGTACTCAGTGCAGGGAGAGCCTCTTTCAAGTTAAAATTTCTGATATGTTGAAAAGAAACAAACAAAAAGAGAAATCATATATTTATTGACTACATTTATGTTAGATTTATGCCTTCATCCTTTGATAATTACATTTTGAATACTTCTTGATAAGCATCAGATAATGATGCACAAATAGGACCAGTGACCAAATTGTTTTATATGTTGCATTATGATATATAGAAGAGGTAACAAAGTAACCCCCCTCTACCTTAGCATGTCCATTTAAAAACATGGACACACAGCCATCAGTTTGCCTTTGCTTTACATTTGGTTCAAACATGAACTGAGAGATCAGAAGGTCTCAGTGTAAATATCCCTAGTCTACCATTGTTCTCAGATGGTTCTACGGTCTCCATTCAGCCCAAAATCAGTTCATATTGAATTCTATAGGATACATGTTTTTTCAAAAACATGACTGGTTGGGATAAAAGTTGTGTGCCTCTAGCACTACTGTTCAGTAGTAAAACTGGCCATACAACAGCAGACGACGCCCCTGACGACGGTTGGAGCTTCGGCGTGACGTCATCACATTTTTTGGAGGGACGGCAGCCATTTTCCTGGTTGGAAACTTGATACACATGCTGGTAACCATCCAATACAATGTACAAGAAACTTGTAATAAACAGGGCGATTTTATTATTTAACTACTACACTGCGAGTGGTCTTCTTCTTTTATTCCTTATCTAAGCATTGGATGGGAGTCTTCTTTTAGGACCTGTTTAGACCTTTGAGAGGAGGATTGAAATCTATTCTAATGAGGATTGCCAGTTCCATGATCTGCACATATTCATCCCCCATTTGAAGTTGCCTATATTGACCGGTGTGTTTCGGTCAGAATTTCTGGTAAGGGCCTGAACCATTCGGGTGTCCTGGTGATGGTAGATCGTGGGAACTGCAGTTGGGACTTTTTAAACTGGAATTTTTTTTCCTTTGATTAATTGGACTTTATGTTTATGTTTTTGATTAGCGCTGCAAAATTGATTTATTTTTTAACAGCAGAATTTTGTTTAGAAATGTTTAATTTGGAGAATGTTCGTTCAATTTTTTAATCATCAGTGGGGTCAAATCTATGTTCAATTTTGATCACAGTGCAGGATGGAAATTTCTCGAACAAACAAATTTCTAAACGGTGGATGTGGTTTTCTTTCAGGAAATTATATTCATTCCAAAATCGAATGTTAACCATTTCAATACCGGGCAATTTTACACCTTCCTGCCCAGGCCATTTTTCAGGTTTCAGCGCTCTCACACTTTGAATGACAATATGCGCGGTCATACAACATTGTACCCAAACTAAAATTTTATCATTTTCTTCACACAACTAGAACTTTCTTTTGGTGGTATTTAATCACTGCTGGGGTTTTTATTTTTTGCTAAATTAACAAAAAAAGACCGAAAAATTTTGAAAACAAAAAACCACGTTTTTCTTTGTTTCTGTTATAAAAGTTTGCAAATAAATAATTGTTCCTCATAAATTTAGACCAAGATGTATTTTACTACATGTCTTTGGTGAAAATAACCCAAATTAGGATGTATTATTTAGTTTGTAGGAAAATTATAGAGTTCACAAACTATGGTATAGATCTGAATATTGATCAGTCCTCAAGTAGTGACAGCCAATCTAATTTCTTGAGGTCCAAGAATGTCAGAACAGTACAGATATCCCCAAATGACCCCTTTTTGCAGAGTAGACAGTCGGACGTACTTCATAAGAGGAATGGCGAGTTTTTTGAAGTTGTATTTTTTTTTTGTCATAACTTTTCGGAAAATGAAAAAATTAAAAAAATTATTTTCACTATTTTTTTTTTACATACTGTCACCAGTGCAGTACAGCGTCATCATATAACTGGCATGGCAGTGAACAGGGACACTGACTGGTGACAGTATTAAAAAAAAAAAAATATATATATATATAATTTTTTTATTACTTTTAATTTTTTATTACTTTTTTTAAAGATTTTTTTTCATATTTTACTATGAACAAAGTAGTACAGTGTTACCATAGTAACATTGTACTACTTTGGGGAAGTGATCAGTATTTTTTTTTTTTTTTTTTTTATATACACAATTTGCTTACAGCAAAGAATTACTTTGCAATAAGCAAGCATTTACCTGAATGACATGGATTCATCCAGGTTTTTTTTTTTGTTTTTTGTGCTTAGCTGTGATTTGGCCACAGCTAATCACATGACATGTGCATGTGACCTGCTGTGAGCATTCACAGCTAGGCACTAGTATACAATGGATGGCATGAATGAAGCCATCCATTGTATACAACTGTCATGTGACCTGCTGTGATTGGTCACAGCAGGTCACATGGTACCGGCAACAGGGGCCGGTACTCAGATCTGTCATCGGCCGTGTCCGTGGTACACTGCCTGTGACAGATCGCACATGTGCGAGAGGACGCCAACTCGCGTACACCCTGGAAAGCTAGAGCATTTTTGCGGCCGCCAAACGGCTATAGGCCAGGCGGCTAATGGTTAAAAGCAAACAAAAATTTTAAGTATTTTTGAATAACATTTGTTAAGTCATTGTATTTACTGAGAACTTTCATACAAATGTTCGTGCAAATTTTTGTTTGAAAGTTCATTTGAAAATCTACTCATGTCTGGCCAGCTATATTCCATATTTCTTGTAGGAAAATATATGAATCAAATAGGCCTGTGAGTTTTACTATTTTTGCTTAACTTAATTTTACTAATATTTTGCTTACCTGCTGCTAATGCCTTGGAGCAAAACAGCTGAAATATCTTTCACTTGTTCTATGAATGCAGTAGTGTTAGAAGAACCCATGACATTCTGAGTAATAAGACACACGCAAGCTACAAGTTTAACTTGATGCAGCTTGTATTTTAAATCAAGAATGCGCAAGTCATCTGTAATCAATGTCTAAAAAAGAGAAAAAAAAGTCACAACACATAATGACTTAAAAAAAAAAAAGATTCATAATATAAAAGCTAAGATCATAACTTTAATAGTAACCTACCTCTGGTACAGCACTGTCATAGTCCAAATCCAGAAGTTTAGCAAAACCACTATTTAGCACCAGGGTTGGACTCAGGTTGTCCACAGATACACCATTTACACTGGTTGCATTTTCTTCAGACTTTGCTTCTGCTACATATTTAAGAGATTGCTGAATCCATTTGGTGGTTTGACTGAGTGCATCTGAAGGAAGATGCATATACATCACATTGTTATACTTTTAGATCCTCGTGACCAATGTGGTAGCAAAAGATGCTAAAAAGGTGAATTTACAGTAAGCATGCCATCTTTCCACTTGTTCACAAATTTAAAAGGGATTTATTCACTTTTGCATTTAAACTGCTTCCCCTTTTAGTATTGGAATCTGCCACATACTGTAAGCACTGTCAGCTGTCTAATGGTGCCTACAGACATAAAATGGAATGGAAGGTGGTCTATCGAGTCTGCACTTTTTTAGTATACACAGTAGTAGTATACTAAAAAAGTAGGGGGAATCAATGGTGGAGAAGGATTTGGGAGGTCTGGTAGATCACAAGCTTAACCACTTCCAGTCCGGACACTTTTACCCCCTTCCAGTCCAGGCCAATTTTCAGCTTTCAGCGCTATCATACTTTGAATGACAATTGTGCGGTCATGCAACACTGTACCCATATGAATTTTTTAGCATTTCTTTTTTAGACAGATAAAGCTTTATTTTGGTGGTATTTATTTACCACTGGGATTTTAATTTTTTTTGCTATATAAAAATGAAAAAGTCCCAAAATTATGAAAAAAAGTGTTTTTCTTATAAAATTTTGCAAATAAATAAGATTTCATCATAAATCTTGGCCAAAATGTATTCAGTTATCTTTTTAGTGAAAAAATAAAATAACCCAAATTAGTTTTTAATCAAAAATTATCATTTTTTAAAAAAAATTTTAAATTTTATTTTTTTTATATTATTATTTATGTTTTTTTTTTTTTACATACTGTCACCTTAGCAGTACAGTGTCACCGTGGTGACAATGTACTACTTGAGGGGGGGGGGGGGTGTGTGATGATTTTATTTATTTATTTTTTTTTCACGGATTGCTTTAACACTCATAAAGGCTGTAAAAGCAATCATTACTCCTTCTCTCTGGCTGCATTCTTGCAGCCATTGAGAAATACTGTGTGAGCTGTGATTGGTCACAGCTTGTCACATGGTACAAGGCTGTTGTGAATAGCCTTGTACTATGTGACCTCTGTGATCATTCACAGATTTCACATGTAGTAAGCAATGATGTCAGAAGTGACATCTTGCTTACTACTCTGCATGTGATCACTGATTGGCCAATCAGTGATCACATGATCTTGACCTCGCACAGAGGTCCCGTACGACGATCGGTGTTCCACTGTGCCCGGAGGACACAGCGGGCACCAGATCACGGTGCTGCGCGCTCCCAGGGAGCACGCACAAGCATGGGGCGGGAGGCCATTTATAAATAGCCACCCGCCCCTGCACTGTCACCGTCCAGCCGCTTATATACAACGGCCGGACGGGAGGTGGTTAATAATGGCATGCAATGCCAAGCTGCTGCGGTTTCTTAAGTGAGCAAAATCCTCTCTTGTATTAAAAGATGTATAGACTCCAGAGAGAGAGATATCATATTACCCCTGTACAAATCATTAGTAAGACCTCGTCTGGAACATGCAGTTCAGTTTTGGGCACCAATTCACAAAAAGAACATTGGGGAACTGGAGAAAGTACAGAGAAAGGCAACCAAACTGATAAGAGGCATGGAGGAGCTCAGCTATGAGGAAAGATTAGAAGGACTGAATTTATTCTCTCTTGAGAAGAGGAGATTAAGGGGCGATATGATCAACATGTATAAATACATCAGTGGTTAATATAGTGAACTTGGTGTAGAGTAATTCACCCTGAGATCATCACAGAGGACAAGGGGGCACTCTTTACGTCTGGAGGAAAAAAAAATGTAATCTCCAAATATGGAAAGGTTTCTTCACAGTAAGAGCTGTGAAAATGTGGAATAGACTACCTCAAGAGTTGGTTCTGGCCAGCTCAGTGGATTTCTTTAAAAAAGGCCTGGATTCTTTCTTAGATACACAGAATATAACTGGATACTAACATTTATAGGTAAAGTTGATCCAGGGAATATCCGATTGCCTCTCAGGATCAGGAAGGAATTGTTTTCCCTGCAGGAGCAAATTGGATCATGCTTTTCTGGGTTTTTTTTTGCCTTCCTCTGGATCAACTGTGGGTATAGGATTATAACTTTTTTTTTTAATGGTTGAGCTGGATGGATTTTCACTAACTATGTAGTGATTGGCTATCAAAATTTAACCGGGTTGACTAACTATACCTCTGATATTGGTTTACACCGGCTGCATAGGCTCTGGACAGCAGATGAGCAGAAAGGCAAAAGTTTAATGTGGCAGGACACTTACCATCACAGAAAGGGAAAGAAACAGTTCCCAGTTTTAAACCCTTTTAAAAGAAAACAGGAGGCAGCTTACAGTCATGAAATGGCACAAGCAGTGTCATACATACCAGGAGATTTCTCAAGGATCTCTTGGAATTTTTCTCTTTCATAATCTGCTAACTGTCGCTGAAGCTGTGGTCTAACATTCTGGATAGTGTAATTAACCATGTCCATTTTCATGAGGTCCAGAACATGGAAGACATCCCTGAAATATATCAAGTAAAGGTAAGTTGAAAATCATTTTAACAGTAAGGGAAATGGAGAAGACATGGAGAAATTAATTTATTTCAAACTCATGGCACTCTCCAGCCATCCAGTGTCTTATGAACCATTCACAGGAATAAATGGGGCCACATTTTGAATTCCCACAAGGAAGAGGACCTGGCTGAAATATTTTTTCTAGCAAAATCTGTTTGGTGCTGGGCAGGGCACAGTGAGGCTCCTGGGATAGCAAATAAAAGGTATTTCCCCATGCGGGCTTCACTCAGGATGTTTGGCAGATTTACTTAGAGGGCAATTTCACTAAAAGTGCCATGATTTATCTCCTCTTCCTCTCAAGCAACATAATAATTAAATGGATTGCCAATCTCTCCCCTTCCCCGAGTCCATGTTCAAGTGAGTGCTACTTATGTGATTTGGTAACCGTCCACGGGCCACAATGAAATGAAATGGTTCCGAATTTCAAATTGTTTTATTGAATAGTATAATGAATATTTTCCTCCTGCAACCACTGAATGCCATGGGGGGGGGGGGGGGGGGGGGGGGGGGGGGGGGGAAGGAAAATGAAGAGGATCAGTTCCTGTATATGTCACCGCACTGCACCTCCTGTCCAAGTGTAAAACAGAATGTGACAGGGAGGCCACGAGCCCCCTGGACCATGAGGCAGTGTCGCTGATGCTACATGAGTGGTGGGGGTGTATGGTAAAAACACATCACAACTATGGGGTTTTACCTGCCCACTGACCACAAATGTAAATGAGCCTTTACAGTCCCGAGCACCCTAGAAGGATGCTTTCACATTGATGTGCTGCGGGTTACCCGCACTGCAGAAGAAACACAGTGCACCTGCAGCTTTACTGTGGCTTTGCCATAGACTTCTATTATATCTTGCAGGTGTGGTGCACTTTCTGAAAGCGAAACAAAACTCCTGCACTCAGTTTGAGGTTGAGGGCCACATCAGAGGGCTCTGCAGGTCATGAGTTGAGCACCCCTGAAAAAAAAGGTGACAATGTAAAAAGATTTTGGAGGAGCTGCATCTTTTGTGTTATATTGTATCTGCGTCTTGGGAGAAGACAGTTTTTCCCTGTACTGCCAAGGGAGTGGTGAAAGCACAGCAAGGAGTGAGCTGTATGCCTTTTTTTCTTTGTAACTAAAAAGGGAAGTTCTCCTTTAGGAAACAATATTCTAACTCACAGAATTTTAGTGGACGACTTTTGTTTGATTTTGGCCCACTCAAAATAACAGAATTAGTTATCCCATCCCTTTTAGCTAGACCTCAGTGCCTATGAGTACCGCTGAATAGCATCATGGACATGTAGTTGGATTCACATAGAACAAAAATAAACCTGCAGCTCTCCTGACACATCTTAAAAATAGTTGAGCTAGAAACTATTAATAGATGGGCACTCAGGCTTCCCGAATTCAGGGAATGACCTTTGCGGTAGATGAAAACTAGCTAGCTCAACAGAGCTTTCCACTGATCTTGTCAGTCTGTAACGCAAGAGAGAGCCAGCTGTGAATCCGAAGTGTTATATGATGTAGATTGTAAGCTCCACAAGCAGGGCCCTCCTATTCCTCCTGTACTGAAATGTATTGTAATTGTACTGTCTCCCGTATATTGTACAGCGCTGCGCAAACTGTTGGCGCTATATAAATCCTGTATAATAATAAACGTTGTCTGCTCTTACCCTTTATTTATTCAGCGCCTACAGGATATAGTCTTTTCTATAACTGAAGGTTAGTCCACTTTAATCTGGCATCTTAGTCTTGCTAGTTACCCATCAAATTATTACAAGTCTTGTAGACTCCAGCATTAAAGAGCACCTGTCATGAAAGTAATGTGGATGTTGCCAATGCTGGCCTTCTTCTAAAAAATCTGGTTGCCTGGCTGTGGTTGACTTTAGGATTTTGAATCAAAGCCCTGGCATGAGTGTCAGCATTCCTTATCTCTATAACTGTTCAGGTCAGAAGCTCACCATTGACATTAAAGAATCAGCATGACCGCTAGAAAACCAGCATTTTTAAAATGGAAAGGTCAGCAGTTTTAGCCTTCATTATTCTCACACGGAAGGTATACTTCAAAATAAGACACTGTTACTGGAATATTTCAACAAACGTCCCGTATTATTATTTGTTCATTTAACATATTTTATGCATGTGTCTTTCACTTGTAAAACCTCCCTTGTGTAGACATCCAAAAGCCTTGAAACTGTTGCCGAGTGCCGTCATCTTAAATGTGATGTCAGTAGTCCAAACAGTCTCAGAGCCGTCACTCAAGTGGCAGTCTTAGAAGGGAGAGTGGACCCCCTTGTAAGATCTAAAGTGGACGTGGGAAGCTTGGTGCAATATTCTTGCTACTAGCCATCTAAGAAGTGATTAAAGCAGTATTAAACCCACAAGCAAGCATTTAGTATATTTCAGCTTACCAATTCTTAGATGTGATGGCTGCATCTGTTTTCTTTTTTAGGCTTTTGTTCTCCTATTTCCATCTGGCAATAAAGCCAGTAAGTCTGTTTTTCAAAAGAACAAGCACTCTTGCAGTTACAGGGATGAGACAAACCATATACCACTGACAAGGGTGCTTAAGATTATCTTTTTTTTTTTAAATATTCATGTAAAAGCTTTATCCCAAAAGGAAAAAACTGTCTGCTGTAACGGCTTATAAAAAATTAGTTAGAGTTTGGCTTCAGTTTGTTAGTGTATGTAAATCTGTTAGTACAGTTAACACCCCCCCCCCTTCCAAGCTGACAATGCTGCTGTTGTCCAAAGGTGTCTCTGTGCTCCTTTGTCCAGGATGGAGACACTAATACAAAAAGGTGTGTTACTGGCCATATCACCAGGGGAAAACAGCCAACAAAAAAAAAAAAAGAAAAAACTATAAAACGCAGCCCCCACATCTAATGATTGGTAAGCTGCAATATATTACATTTTTAATTTTTTGGGAAATGGTTCATGCTACACCCGTATTTAGGGTGTAACATGTTCCAGCACCCCCTTGACAGAGGGCAGGGGTTCTTCACCCCGCAGCCGTTGTCAAATTCAAAACTGGAGAGCCTGTGCAGGGGCTCTGTAAATGAGGAAGCTACTAGTCCCATCTTCTGCCATGGCAGACAGACTTGTAGCTCTGAAAGGATCATGAGAGTGCTGATGAGTGGTCTCATAGTCCACTGACACTTCCTCCACTTTCTAACAGAAAACACATACAGGAGGTACAAGCAGAACTTTGGAGGACAGGAAGCTGCAGGAGCCTGACATTGCACCCACAATCCAATGATCATGATTGCAATGCTTTGCATGCTGCTGTGGGAAATAATAATAAATGTACATTTTTTTCTGAAACAATATGTACTTTTACTATTTTTTCCTGAAAGGTGAACTTATCTTTAGAGCCAGGGTTTTGCTAGTCGAGTATGCACCCATAAATCGATTTGCCACCATTTTTGCTCATCCTGACAAAATTTTACAACAACATACCTGTGATCCACTAGATACAATAAAGAATGTAGCGCTACACCCAAAAGATATATGCACACTTAAATAATAAAAAACAATAAAAGAAAAAATGTGAAATCACAAAATCTCATATAAAAAAAAAAACAAAACAAATAATATATATATATATATATATATATATATATATATATATATATATATGTGACAGTGAAATCAATTAATATTAATTCGTGCTCATAAATCATGGAATCCACACAAAAAAATATAATAAATAGCTCAAAACATGTGAAAACACATTTCCATATATATATATAGCACACATACATACATACATATATATAAATAAGCACACGTGCCTCTTGTGAAGTGAAACGACCATTATAAATGGTACAAACAACAGTGCTCTCAAAGTCCAATAAATATTGCTGGTGACCGAAGAAAAAACAGTGCTTCCAATAACTACTGTTAGTGACCATAGGCAACACTCGTGCAGATCTCTGAGTGCATATAAATCGGACAATCCGACCACCATCTGGATAAGCCTCTCACCTCATCCCTTCGACCCTTGCGGATCAAAGAGCAGTTGTGGATCCCCCTCACGGATCCTCCAAGATAATTATCACTCCAAAGGTTGCTCTCTCAGAAATAAATATTCCCACTCTGGCTCTTCTCCAGGAAAGTATTGCAGCATCAATCTCTCAAATGAGACAAAATGAATCCTCCCATAGTGCAGTATATTTTATTTGTTACATAGGGACAGATAACATTAAGCTTTTTCACTTACGTAGCAGCCAGTCCAAAACCTCATGCTTTCGGATGAGGGTATGTATGTATGGGTGTACAGCTGAATACACAGGTGTACCAAGATGGCCGCCACGCCGGAAATACGTCACCACGTCAAGCCGACGCGTTGCGTCACAATGTCATGTGGCTTCCTCAGGGCTCCTGAGCTATTTATTATATTTTTTTGTGTGGATTCCATGATTTATGAGCACTAATTAATATTAATTGATATCACTGTCATACTATATATATATATATATATATATTTTTTTTTTTTATGAGATTTTGTGATTTCACCTTTTTTCTTTTATTGTTTTTTTATTATTTAAGTGTGCATATATCTTTTGGGTGTAGCGCTACATTCTTTATTGTATTTATTTATCACAATCACTGGTATATGATTTAATGTTAGCAGCTTCCCCTGGGATTTATATATATTTTCATTTAGTTTAAACACTTGGGAGCGCAGGAGGTTCACACCACTACTGTGATCCACTAGAGCTGCTAGCCTTATCTTCAACTATCCTAAATTACACAAAAACTGCTAGGATGATGATTGAAAGCAATATTGTAGCAAGTATACATGTTTTAAACCAATATGATTATAAGACTGACAGTGAACTAACCGCAACATTTGTACAATGTCACCAGTGGGTTTCAGCTTTTTTACATCTTCATCTCTGACTGGAGCACATAACTTTCCCATTATGTTAATGATATAACTTCCAAGTTTGGGGATATCAACCGCATTGTGTTCCGCTTGCTGCCTTATTAGGTCCACATCTAAAACTTCACAGATCTGGGTCCGTAGTCTGTTTGTACCCGGTGATAGAAAGGAAAGCAAGATCTACAAAACAGAAATGACAGTACAAAATGCTGACTGAATGGGGAAAAAAAAAGACCCATCATTGCACAAACCGATACATTAGGGCTTAGATAGCAAATTGCAGTGGATGTATATCTGTCTACCACTACTGGTTTACCAAAATCCACATTGAAAAAAAGCTTGATGTGACTTTTAATAGAGTTGGAGGAGGCAGGCAATTCAGGCCCCTTTTGCAGGCATAGCTATGTAAAACATTGAAAATAAATACCTATACTGTATGAAATCCAGTAATGCAACGTCTAACCCTGCTCTGCACATGCTCAGTTGCACTCTATGGGCACTGCCTAAAATCAGAGCATTTGGGGCCTGTCAGCTTTAAGATTTACTGATGCTGAATGGTGAAGAAGGCAACAGGAATGATGCAGGCTGTGCAAAGGCAGGACAGATTGGGGAGGGAGAAAAGAAAAGCAAGAGAGGTGACAGAACAAACTCTGCTGTCAGGGAGACAGAAGAGATAAACTTACAAGGATAGTGTATTATCTCCCTGATAATCTCTTCTTTCTTCCACATCTCAAGATATAAATTTCAGCACTGCAAAGCTTCTGTCATCCTTCCTCTCTATTTGAGCCAAGACATACAATCAAGGCTGAAAAAAGTATATATTTTAATTGAAGAACGAGGCATACAGTTTTTGAGATCAAAGAGAGGTGGAGAGTTTTCAATAAAAAGTGAATGTTCTGGGCTTCATCAAAATGGCAGCTTCCAGCAAGAAGAAACAGGAGCAATGCTGGAGGCAATTTACAGCGCACACTAATTTTGGTAGCATAATTATTCATGTGGAAGGTATGTTCTATTATTAAAAAACATTAATTGTTGTTATTAAACTGTTACGAGCAAAGTTCTGCTTTAAAATACAACAGTAAACTAACCTCTTTTATCTCATCAAAAAGCGTGATTGCATGTTCATACTGGGGAGGATCTTCTTTAAGTTCTGACTCCAAACAGTCCCAGAATGCTTTGTGAACAATCTCCTTTACCTTCCTTTCTAAACTGTTGAACACATCAATGACACAAGGGATATAATACAGACGTTTAGAATTTCCCAGAAAGACAAAGAAAGAAAAAAAAAAAAAAAAAAGTGATTTTTAATGTCATCTCTCATTTTCTGCTTTTCAGAAATTCAATCTGTACCGGTTAGACCTGTTCAATCTTCTTCATAGTTTAAAACGTGGGAGAAATGTCAGGCAGGATTGCGTCAAGAGTAGTTAGAAGCACAATAAAAGCCTCTCTTTTTTAATCTACAGGCAATAAGAGGAGTGTTTTGATGGGAAAAATATTAACCTTAGGCTGGCCATACACTTAATGCATTTTGACCAGTTCTTCATGTACTGGCTATAATTTGAGCCATAGATGCTCCAATCAACACCTTCTTGTCCAACATCCCTCAATCAGAAATCGAAGGAGCCAGGTGGAAAATTGTCAGCTGCAAAATACAGCAGCTTGCAAAAGAGATTCTCTCATCTGTGCTTTATAGTGTGGATAGGGGAAATGATGGATTCAGCCCGTGGGGTGAATGAGAGAAATCTTACTGTGTATGGGCAGCATTAAAGATACTCTATGGAGGTTATTTACTAAAACTGGAGTGTGCAAAACCTGGTGCAACTCTACATTGAAACCGATCAGCTTCCTGAAGTTAGAAGCTGATTGGCTACCATGCACAGCTGCACCAGTTTTAGCAAATCTACTCTTGAGATAGGTAAGCATATATAACTGCAGATCCTTGCAAATGAAGAGGTAGTATACTCGCCTGTATAGAGAGACACGTCTCCTATATTTACTCTGTTCCAGTGCTGCAACCTCCACCAAACCCTTCAGCATTTGACACTTCTGGGAGTGTCAGAAGTTTGTACCCTGCCTTGAAGTATGGATACTTCCCCTGACCTCCATCACTACAGCACTTAGTAGGGGTCAGAATGAAGCCACATTGAGCGAAATTTTCAAAAACCCTGGTGGAGGCTACAGCACAGGAAATGAGAAAAGACAGGGGATACAAGCATGCCAGAGTGTTGATTATATCGCTTTTTCTGCAGGCACCTGGCATTTTATTTTATTTTATTTTTTGGGGGGGGGGGGGGGGGGGGGGATTGACAGGGTCTCTTAAGCTGGCCAAAGATGGATTGAAATTCGGCTGGGTCTACAGGGCCCAGATGAATTTCGATCCATACGGGTCTGCTCCCACTCGACAGGACAGCAGTCAAACTTAAGATTGACATCAGTGTAATGGGCTTGATGGAAAATTTTTCTTGATCAGTGCCTGCAGAGTCCCCACTGTCAGAATACAATGTCTCAGCAGGGAGGATTCCCCTATCCGCCTCGAATGTGTGGATGGAGGAATCTGTTTTTTCTTTGTTTTTTTAGCCAGGGGGCCAGTATAGAAGATTACATCCACCACTTTAAAGCAGTATTAAACTCAAAACCAAAAAAGGAATATGTTGCAGAAAACTAATCATTAGATGTAGTCGCTGCGTTGTTTTTTTTTTTAGGCTCCCCCCCCCCCCCCATTTTTAATCTGGTGATCTGGCCAGTAACACACCTCCTGTATTAGGGTGTCTCCGCTCTGGGTGAAAAAGCACAGAGGGCACATTTGGACAGCAGTATTGTCAGTCTGGGGGGAGGGGGTGTTAAATGCACTAGCAGATTTAGATACACTAACATACTCCAGCTCAGACTGAAATTACACAAGCGTTTTATTTCCTTTTGGGATAATAGTTTTACATGCATTCATAAAAGCTGATCATAATAAGCATCCCTATCAGTTGTAAATAGGCTGCATCAACCCTCTAACTGCTACATCTGCAGGACAGCTTGTTCTGTTAAAAAAAACAGCAGTGTTTTTGGCCAGATCACCAGATGAAAATATAGGGAAGAAATCCTAAAAAATAAAACTAATGCAGCCTTCACATCTAAGAACTGGTAAACTGCAATATAATAAATGTATATTTTTTGGGGGTTTAAAACCACTTTAATAAAGTGTATAGTATAACTGAGCTATACATCTGCATTTCCAAATCCTTTGCTAAACGTCCTACTGACATTTTCTATCTATCTATGGGCAGGCTTGTTGTACTGAAGTCGACCGATGTCAGATTTTTTTCATGCACTCACTGCTGCTGGCTATAGAAAGGCTCCCTGCCAACAGAAGACAATAGCGCTGTGAGAGGGATTTTCCCATCAACACGAAGTGTGTTGATGGAGGAATCAAGCAATTTTCTTTCCTTCCACTTTAAATCACATTTTGATTCTCTAATTATACCATCTTGGGGTAGGTGAGGTTACTTGCACTGTTGGTGGCTCTTGACCATGGGGAAACATCATTGTACATTAAAGAAAATTCTGCAGAATGTTTAACTACTTAGATCCTGTCATCCAATACTGATGGAGTTTGTCTTTTCTTAGACACAGCTATCACTGAAGGCCATAGAATATAAAACTCATCCTACTAGTCTCATACTACTAGTCTCCATTGTTTAGATAAATGCTTATAATCATATCAATGTGTGTTAAAAAAATCTTGTTTCTCTGTATATTTTGTAATAAAACAAGTACAAGTACATAAGCAGGCTTTGCCTCCTGCTGACAATCTTATCTCAAGAGTAAGTCCTGTCTGATTGAAGTCAAGACAACAGAGGAAGCTGGCCATACACAACTTGAATTTCATCTATTTCCTGCTGAATGGTTCTAAATTTGAGCCGTGGTGGCACTGTTGGCACCACAAAAGTCGATTTAAAGGAGAAGTTTAACTTTTAAACAAAAAAAATAAATGCACATTTTTTTTGCAGGTAAAAAAAAAGTGCATGTATTTGTTTCTGGAGTCTCTAAAGCAGGGGTGTCAAACTGGCAGCCCTCCAGCTGTTGCGAAACTACAAGTCCCATCATGCCTCTGCCTTTGGGAGTCATGCTTGTAACTGACAATCTTGCAATGGGCCGCCAGTTCGACAGCCATGCTCTAAAGCATTGCACCAGCGATCAGCAGATCGCTGGTGCCATGCAGGTCTTCTGCAGCCCTGTCAGTGTATTTGTGTGCCCGTACATCCCGAATGGGAAAGCAGATACTGACAGGAAGACTCAATGAACTACCACAGTGCTCACAGCGCTTTAGTAGTTCATTGAGAACTACACGCCAACAGTTGCGTTTCTTTTTTAAATTGTGACAGCTAGCTGGTGTGGGGTGGAGAAGATCCCCCGCTAGTGGTCACAACGGGAAAGTGAGGAAGAGCAGGGGTCACTCTATTCGTAACATGTTACACCCTGAATACAAAATGTGAACGTATCCTATAAAATGGTCAAAAAAGTTGACTGCATCCTAGCAGATGTGGTCACTGTCCATGTATTTGGACAGCCGCAGGTGCAGTGGCTGCCTGAATACAATAGTTGGCAGTGGGGATTCCTCCAAGCATGCTGTTTAGTACATATGGGGGAATCGATTGACTCAAGGATGACTGAGAAAAAATTAATATGTACGGTTGCTTCAGTGTAGTCTTCTATGGTGTCAAACAAGCACAATGCACTTGGTAAACCAGAGAATATGTCGCCTCCATATAGGCTGTAAGTCACTTTATTGATGGCATCAATGTAATTTAGGAATGTTGGCATTGTTCTACTGAATCTTGTGTAGTGTGATTTGTAATAATAGGTGAATTGTGCATACTGAGCCTTCAGAGGAGCTGTAAATATACAGTGCAAGTCCCATAAATTGCCAAGTTTAATGTAAAAAATATTTGATATCTCATTTGGCAATGGGCATATTCAATGAACAGTATAGAACAGTGGTTCTCAACCTGTGGGTCGCGACCCCTTTGGGGGTCGAACAACCCTTTCACAGGGGTCCCCTAAGACCATCAGTAAACACATATTTCCGATGTGTAAAGAGCAGCTACTGTGTAGAAAGCAGCTGCTGTGTTGAAAGCAGCTACTCTGTTAAAAGCAGCTACTTTGTTGAAAGCAGCAGTATTGGAGGTAAAACGACACTCAAGAATTATAATTACTGGGTAAATAATTTTAAGGTTGGGGGTCACCACAACATGAGGAACTGTATTAAAGGGTCACGGCATTAGGAAGGTTGAGTACCACTGGTATAGAAGGTATTCATAGCAACAAATCAGAATTTACTTTACTGAAACTAGACCAGTACAAGATGGTATCTTGTTGCTAAAAGGACTGTATTTTTCTGCTTAAAAAGTTTTATTCAATAAGGCAGACTATGAAACATAATTCACAGTGATATTGCTCAGAATTAGAAATCAATGTTGTGATGGGTGCCCAGCAATCCTGAGTATGAGCACATCCTAAATCTCACATTATAGGTTACAAGAGAAAAGCCAAATGTCCATACACTCCTATTGCTATTAAAGGCTGCAATGAGATTTTAGTTTCTCAGATACCTGTTTTTAGGTGGATCAGTGTTCTCCATGTGGAAGTTCTCATTTGCAACAATTTCATGGGCCAGGATTAAGTTTGACAGATTTCTTGTGGTTGACATAATTTCATCAAGTGTCGCTGTCTTTGGTGGACTTGCTATAAACAAACAGTACACACAACGTTTCAAAAATGGTAATAAAATGGGTTTCTATTGTTAAATTGGTAAATTCTCGAAAGACAAGGCCACTTAAAGCGGAGTTCCACTCAACCTATCAAAAAATAAAAGTCAGCAGCTACAAAAACTGTAGCTGTTGACTTTTAAAAAACAGCCACTTACCTGTCCCTCAGTCCCATGATATGTCCCCCGCAGCTCGTTTCACCGGCCGTCCTGTATTCCAGGAGGCCGACATCTTCACTGTGGGCACCCAGCTGTGATAGCTTGTGGCTTCATAGCCGGGTACCCACTGCGCATGCACGAGTAGCGCTGCACTTCGTGAATGGTTCTGTAGTCTTCTGGGACCTGTCACATGTCCCAAAAGACAACAGATAGGGAGGACACCTTCCGTTTCCGATCGCCTAGGCGATCAAACCGGAGGTGGGAGCGGGTACCTGTCAAATTCGGGTACCCGCTCCCCCCCGCAACCCAAAAGGTGCCAATCCTTAATGGGGAGCGGGGAAGCAGTTCTTAAAGCAGAAACTTCCCTTTTGGCTAGAGCTCCTTTAAAAAAAAAAAAAAAAAAAAAAAAAAAAAAAAAAAAAAAGGGTATAAAAGGAATAGCATGTAGGTACCTATAGGTTCCTGCACGTACCTGCTTACGCTTACGTTTCCTCTCTGTGCCAGAATGCCGGGCTATTCTGACAGTCACATTCCTATTGACCAACAGAACCATTAGGACAGACCAGCATTTGGGGCAGAAGAAGCAATAAAAGAAGGCAAGTGTAGGGACCTCTCGGTGCCTGCAATCTTTTTTGTTTTTAATGGCAGGGTCACTTTAAATAATTTTACATTTTAGGTACATACATTCATAATCATTTATGTTCATGAAGGAAGCCACTGTGCCTATTATACAGTGCTTCCAGAAAGTATTCACAGCACTTAACTTTTGCCACATTTTATGTTACAGCCTTATTCCAAAATGGATTAAATTCATTTCTGTGGAGAGAGAACAACCATCTCTGCAGCACTCCACCAATCAGGCCTGTATGGTAGAGTGGCCAGGCGAAAGCCACAACACAGTAAAAGGCAAATGGCAGCCTGCCTGGAGTTTACCAAAAGGCACCTGAGGGACTCTCAAACCATGAGAAACAAAACTCTCCGGTCTGATGAAACAAGCATTGAATTCTTTGACCTGAATGCCAAGTGTCATGTCTGGAGGAAACCTGGTGCTGCTTACCACCTGGCCAATACCATCTCTACAGTGAAGCATGGTGGTGGCAGCATCATGCTGTGGGGATGTTTTCAGCAGCAGGAACTGGGAGAAAAGCCAGGATCAAAAGAAAGTTGAATGCAGCAATGTACAGATATATCCTTGATGAAAACCTTTTCCAGAGCGCTCTGGACCTTAGACAGGGGCAACGGTTCATTTTTCAACAGGACAACAACCCTAAGCACACAGCCCACAAAGGAGTGGCTATAGGCCAACTCTGAATGTCCCGCAGTGGCCCAGCCACAGCCCAGACTTGAACCCGACTGAACATCTCTGGAGAAATCTGAAAAAATGACTGTGCACCGCCGCTCCCCATCCAAGCTGATGAAGCTTGAGAGGTACTGCAAAGAAGAATGGGAGAAATTGCCTAAAAATAAGTGTGCCAATCTTGCAGCATCATACTCAAAATGACTTGACGCTGTAATTGGTGCTAAAGGTGCTTCAACAAAGTATTGAGCAAAGGCTGGGAATACTTATGTACATGTGGGTTTTTTTTAATTTTAATAAATTGCAGAGATTTAAAAACAAACTTATTTCACGTTGTCATTATGGGGTATTGTTTGTAGAATGTTGAGGGGAAAAATGAATTTAATCCATGTTGGAATAAGGCTGTAACATAACAAAATGTGGCAAAAGTTAAGCGCTGTGAATATTTGCTGGATGCGCTGTATATGCAGACTCGGGCAGAGATTTACTAAAACTGGTGCACTCAGAATCTGATGCAGCTGTGCATAGCAACCAAGCAGTATCTAACTTCCACTTGTTCAATTAAGCTTTGACAATAAGGCTTCTTTCACATGAGCTGTTCGATCCATCTGTCCATTTTTCAGGCAGACCCTCATTTCTCCTTTATGGACAGTCATATATTAAACAGACTTGTGTCCGTTTACACTCGACTACCTCCGAATTGATCCGATCCAGCAAAAAAAACAAACAGAAGGTGATTTGTTCCCCTCCATCTGGCCATGTCGGCATGGAGGGCAGCTGGGTGTAAACAGACAGTTGGACTGCTTACATCTGATAGTAGAGTGGGCTGTGTCCGTGTCTGCTCTGCATAAGAGGAGTGGATAAGTACCTGTCATCCAGCTAGTCCGCACAGCTTAGCAGAGGAGCAAAACAGATCCAGCCCATGTGAAATGGACCTAAAACCTAGAAACTGAGTGTTTACTATGCACAGCTGCACCAGATTCTGTGTGCAGCAGCTTTAGTAAATCTCGCCCTCTGTATCCTGTTCGGACGTACAGCATAATAAATATTCCACACAGATTCTCAGGTTTCAGTGCCAGACGGAGAGTGCGTTGGTTATACCAGTCCTTGCAACCTTTAATAAACATGGAACACCCACACTGTTCCCAGGAGCTAGACTGCTAGACCATTAGGGTGCCAATGATTTAGGGAGCTCAGAAACAGCATTTTTTATTCATGGTGAACAAGCGGTACTTTATTAATTTAGAATAATGAGATGTTTCACTAATATTGACATATGCCCTGCTCCCGATTCATAAGAAATATAAAGTTTCCACTTGCCTATAGTGGCAAATTATTCTAGATACCAGAAGGCTGCCTGGGCATGTCCTGCATAATATGAATCCGTTGCTGTGACTACAGTAAACTATTCACATTGTTAGAATGTTTATTGGGAGCATGCACATTTCCCTGAAACTGATACACAGGAAGCTTCCATAACCATGAATATCAAATTGTCATACCAAGGCTATGATTGGTTAATGACAAACGACTACAAAGTCACAGGCACTTACACACAGGGGAAGCGTGCTTGCTTGAAGAGTCACTGGTAAAACTATCCCGCGGAGACTCGCTGTCACTAGAAGAACAGGCCATGCTCTCAGACAGGCGAGATGTGTCCGAATCACTTAGGTGGTCCTCATTTCCAAAGGCTTTTTCATCACTGAATGGCATTTTAGTTGCTGTAAACAAAAAAGTCCAGCATATGAATGGCCTCAATGGGGAACAAATCTCAGATTAAAAGATACTACTCTAAAGCCAGTCATAGAGAAGACAATGGCCAGACAAAGACACCAAAGTCTACTGCAATGTGTGTAGAGCAGTAGTGAAATATAATGAAAAAACTGCAATGTGTCCAGTATTGGTTAGGAAAAAAAAAAAAAAAAAAAAAAAAAAAAAAAAAAAAAGGGTCTTCATGTTGACCTATTTCCCAGAGCACAGAACAACTGAAATTGTATGTGGATAGCATTAGGCAACACAAGATGAAAATATAACCTGAAATATGCTTGTTCAGAAGAACAAAAAGAGTAATTGCCTTGCATTTATTTGGAGAACAGCCAAATTCAGCATCTTTTGTTTTATCTGACAAAGGATTTATCGGTTTATGGTGAGGGGGTCGCCTCTAAATGATGTTACACAAGGTGTAGGAGCGGAGTGCTTGTGCCCTTCTGATCCATGTTTACTAGCTATATTGATGTGCTTGCGTGGAGAATTTGAGTTTATAGATTACATAATGTAATTGTGGTGCATGCTGAAAAATGTTGAGTGTAACTGAAAGGGGATGGGGGTGTTGGAGTCAAAGAATGCATCTTGAAGAGTGCTGAATATAATTGGGGGAGTTGTAGACTGCCAAATGTAATTGATTGGGGTTCATCCTGCAGAGTGCAATTGGGGTGCACCCTAAAAAGTGTTGACTGTATTTGGAGACGGGGTGGGGGTGTTGCTGAGTGTACTTGAGGTGCAGTCTGCAGAGTGCTGAGTGTAATTGGTGGGAGAAGGGGGGAAGTTTCACAGTGCTGGGTGTTATTGGAGGTGCATCCTGCAGAATGCTGAGAGTATTTGGGTGGTTGTGGTGGGAGTGCAGAGTGTGATTGGGTGCATTCTGCCGAGTGCTCAGTGTAATTGGGGGGATGCAGAGAGCTGAGTGTTAATGGGGTGCATCCTACAGAGTGCTGAGAGCATTTGGGCAGTTGGGGTGGGAGTGCGGAGTGTAATTGGGGGTAGTTGCAGAGTACAGAGTTTAATTTATTTAGTTTTATCCTGAAGAATGCTGACTGTATTTGGTGGTTGGGGGAGCTGTAGAGTGCTGAATGCACAGTACGCAGAGTGCGGATTGTATTTGGGGGGCAAGTGTAATTGGGGTGCATCCTGCTGAATGTAATTTGGAGAGGGAGTGCTGAGTGTAATGGGGGGTTTGCAGAGTGCCGAGTGGTTTTGGGGTGCATCCTGCAGAGTGCCATGCTTTTTTAGGTTGGGGTGCTGAGTGTAATTGGGGTTCACCATGTACAGTGACGAATGTAGTGTGTGTGTGTGTGTGTGGGGGGGGGGGGGGGGGGGGGGGGGGGAGTTGGGGTTTCAGAGTGCTGAGCATAAAATTGGAATTCATCCTAGAATGCCTAGGGTAATTAGAGTACATCCTGCAGAATGCTGAAACTAACTGGGTGGTTGGGGTGGGAGTGTCAAGTGTAACTGGGGTGCATCCTGCGGAGTGATAAGCTGAATCCAGATCACCAAGAACACTTACATTTGGTGCTCCGCAGTTATCAGCACTAAATGTATATACAGAAAGTACTCTGTTCAAGAATTTCTAATCAATTCCTTTTTACTAGCAAAGAAACAAAGATTTAGCCTTCAAGTTCATTCACGGCCTATTCCTGAACTGTACAAATGTGCAGTAGAAAGTGTACGTGTGTGTCAGACATATAAAGATGCTTTCACTACTTTATTATTTCCTGCCAAGTATTATCTGTTGCCTATGGGTGGGTACCCTTCAAGAGGAAGAAGAATGTAGCAGCACAGCAATAGTACATTCAGCATGTCAATGCAGAACACTTATCACGGTTCAGAGATCAAACAGTTCGAGAGAAATCAACCTGGGCGTGACACTTTGACATTTCAGTGCACACACCCCCTCAAAAAAACTGTGTGTATGTGTGTGAATATGTATGTGTGTGTGTGTATGTGTATGTAATATATATATATATATACACACACACACACACACACACATACACATACACACACACACACACACACACACACATACATATACACACACATACACACAGTTTCTACCAGCACATCAGCAGCCATGCATTCAGCCTTCTGCATCCCAGCTTCAATTGAAATGTGTTATGTGTTACCAAAACTTTTTTATTTTAGTTTTAGATGGGGAATGGAAGGATTAGACCCTCTTATGTTTTTATTGCTGTCCCTGCGAAGGATAATTTGTCCTGGTGACAATAATTGCTGTGCTGTCACTGCAGGAAGAGAGGGGATATCGGTTTCAATGACAACTAAGAGGAATTTCCTTCACTTTGAAAGCATTTAGTCTTGCATCCTGTTGTGTCTTTGGTCAGAAAGTGAAGAAATATAAAGACAAACCAAAAAAATGACAAGGTTTAAACTATTACCTACTGTGTTCAAAAGTAGAAGTTTTGGCTTTAAAAATACTGTAAACTAAGGCAGACCAATGATGTGATTTTCTTTTCTCCAACCGCAGGGAGCCGTCCCTGTGGGGAGAACACAGCGATTAATAGTTGCATGTAAAAATTTTACATTCGATGGATTGACTTAGGTACAATCAGCCTGCCCATAAATGGATCGAATCTCTGCTGGTCCCTGATGAACAGGTAGAGATTTGAACCATCCATGGCCTGCCTAAAATCAATAATACCTGACTCCAGTGCTAACCTAACTTAACCCCCATGTCTAAACTAAACCTAAGCATAAACCTTTGGATTGCTCTCATTTAGCTTGCAGTCTAAAAAAGAAAAGGAAAAAGAAAAAAAAAAAAAAAAAAAAAAAAAAAAAAACCACAACAGATTTCGCCATCCATGCTAAACATTGTTGAAGGAGGAATCTACTGCTGGCTTTTGTGTTTTGACAGCCTCAGCACCCACAGTTGTCTGAATACCTGAACCGTGACTACATCTGATAGGACAAAGTCACTGTTCCACCAAGAATTGGTTACCTGGCTCAGTCATAACAAATGATTATCTGAGCTGTTGAGTTTGCCTGGTGTTCCCCTAGTCAGGGGACCCAATGTCAATACTAATAGTTGTAGTAGGATTTTTTTAGTCATGGTATATCTAGTAGTAGTTAGTCACATTCAACTGGACTTGTTCTGTAATGTTGAAAATGCTTTGAAGTTTGTACAACCCAATGAAGAAGTGGCTTGGTATGCGATGAAACATCTTCAACATTACAGAACAAGTCCAGTTGAATGTGACTAACTACTACTAGATAGACTATATTGCCAAAAGTATAGGGACACCTGCCTTTACACGCACATGAACTTTAATGGTATCCCAGTCTTAGTCTGTAGGGTTCAATATTGAGTTGGCCCACCCTTTGCGGCTATAACAGCTTCAACTCTTCTGGGAAGGCTGTCCACAAGGTTTACGGGTGTGTCTATGGGAATGACCATACTTCCAGAAGTGCATTTGTGAGGTCAGGCACTGATGTCGGATGAGAAGACCTGGCTTGCAGTCTCCGCTCTAATTCATTGCAAAGGTGTTCTATTGGGTTTAGGTCAGGACTCTGTGCAGGCCAGTCAAGTTCCTCCACCCCACACTCGCTCATCCATGTCTTCATGAACCTTCATTTGTGTACTGGTGTTCAGTCATGTTCGAACAGTAAGGGGCCATCCCCAAACTGTTCCCACAAAGAGCATGAAATTGTCCAAAATGTCTTGGTATGCTGTTGCCTTAAGAATTCCCTTCACTGGAACTAAGAGCCCAAGCCCAACCGCTGAAAAACAACCCCACACCATAATCCAACCTCCACCAAACTTTACACTTGGCACAATGCAGTCAGACAAGTACTGTTCTCCTGGCAACCGCCAAACCCAGAAACATCCATTGGATTGCCAGAAAAGTGCGATTCATCACTCCAGAGAACATGTCTCCACTGCTCTAGAGTCCAGTGGCTGCGTGCTTTACACCACTGCATTCGACGTTCTGCATTGCACTTGGTGATGTAAGGCAGTTGCTTGGTCATGGAAACCCATTCCATGAAGCTCTCTACGCACTGTTGCTGTGCTAAGCTGAAGGCCACATGAAGTTTAGAGGTCTTTAGTTACTGACTTTGCAGACAGTTAGCGACTTCATCACACTGTGCTCTTCAGCATGCGCTGACCCCACTCTGTCATTTTACGTGGCCTACCACTTCGTGGCTGAGTTGCTGTTGTTCCCAGTTGCTTCCATTTTGTTACAATACCACTACCAGTTGAGTGTGGAATATTTAGCAGCAAGGAAATTTCATGGATGGATTTATTGCACAGGTGGCAACCTATCACAGTATCATGCTTGAATTCACTGAGCTCCTGAGAGTGACCCATTCTTTCACAAATGTTTGTAGAAGCAGTCTGCATACCTAGGTGCTTGATTTTATACACCTGTGGCCATGGAGGTGAATGGAACACCTGAATCCAATAATTGGAGGGCTGGCCCAATACTTTTGGCAATATAGTGTATGATGTTTGTTTGTTTTATAAACATGCTTTTATATAGTTGTCGTCTTTAATAATACAGACCAACAATGGGCTTTTCATCTGTATAGTTAGTGCACATAAGCTCTACAGCAGGACTCATCCTACGCTGGATCCTACTTGGTGCAGTCCCTCTCATAGCTGTAAGGTGATAGTGCCCAGACACCAGCTGGTAAGCAGCAGCACTGCCCCATAGAAGATGATCACTTCTTTCAGACCTTACAAGGCAAAGCTTTACAGGATATCAGATCTGCCATTTAGAGATCAGTAAACAAATAAACATCTCCAGGAAACGATATGCATCAGCTAAGGTACAGATAGCAGCTGCTGAGTTCTTGTGAACAAGCTCCCGAACTGCTGGGTTTTGTGGTCCACATGTACCAGCAGTAGACACGCTCTCTTTTGGGGGGATTGAGCCTGTTTATTGCACAGCAACTTTTAGGGCTCGTGCACACCAGGTGTA